TTGTACTCATAACTCTCATCGCAACAGTTCAGGTTTTTTTTCCCCATCCACTATAATCGGATTTCTGAACAGTGCCCGGTGCTCTATTGGCTGTACTTGATCTATAAACAACGTTAAACTCATAGCTCCTTTAATCAGCTTTAAGCTTGTTAAATCTAATATCTGCTTTCTTTGACAAGTGAAAATGTTTAAGAGGCTCTTGGTTCGTAACCACCGTAAATTTTCGGCCAAATAGATAGGGTTGAAACTGCTCTTTTAAGTATACTGTTGCAAGTCATTCTTTATCATGTATAGGGTATCGAAGCTAGATGTTCTTTGAGCATCAGGAGGCGAGCTCGCACGGGTTGTCTTTCCCTATTCTACCCTGACACAATATTGCTCTAATAGCATAGTCTAATGCATCTGTTATCACCACAAATGGTTTTTTCCAGATCGGATGCTTGAAGTACAATCTCGTTGCAAAGTGCGTCTATGAGAATTTAAAATGCTTGTTTCCTGCTGCTCCATACTGCTCTTTCCATTTAAATCCTGAACTTCGATTTAAAAGTTAAGACAGCGGTTAAGCGATTTTTGCATAATTATGAGTAAATCTTTTGTAATATCGTAACATCCTCGTGTATATCGATTTGAAGAACCCTTGTTTCAAGTCAACAACTGTTATACGGCATGCTGATGCCAGATGTTCCAATATATTGCTCTGAAATGGAAGTGGGAAGCAGTTACCTATTATTATCTTAGTAAATTGCCTAAAATTCATTACCACGTACTAGCGTTTCTCACCGTTTGGTACGGCATGTTTTGGCATGATCCACATATCTAAACTGTACGGTAATTAAGATGGCTCTATAATGTCTTATTCGAGCAGCTTGTTTATCTCTATTTTCAACTACTCTCTTATGGACAGTAAAAACCTGTATCTTTTGGCTGTTATGGATTTTTCCGTTGACGTTTTTATACTTTGTTTTAATAAGTTTGTTGCTTTAAGAGGCTCTCTTTCTAAATCCAAACACGTACGAGTTGAATTCTTTAAGTTCTTGCACGTGTTTCTTTTCTTCCTTGTTCCAACTCGACACATCGGCTATTTTCATTATCTCGTCTACTCTTGTTTTTCTGCTGATTAATATTTCTTGGTTTTTATCCCATGGGCCCAAATTTTTCCGTCATTACTATCAACGTCACTGCTATGCTTACTTTTCCTCTTATTTCTTACATTTTCCTGTTTCTGTTTATATGATTTATCTTATTTTCACTCTCCCTCGGTGACTTTATTCCTTTCTTACATTTTTCATCTTTCCCCGACATTCGTAATGCAAGAAAGTTGCCAAATAAGATTCCATCTTTTAATTTTTGTAGAGGAACCTAACTCTTTTCTGTTTTTCTGTGCACTTGCTTCATATATGCGTGTATTACTTGCCTTGTTATCGTGACAATCTCGAAGTTTTCTGGCTTTTCCAGCAGAATTTCGAATCCATCCACGGAACAGTATTTTGTGCGGCATGAATACGGCCGTCGTACAACTTCAAAATGTCCTGTCCTATTGTGCCTTCTACTGTTATGGAAAAGTGACGTAGGATTTCACGCAGGGTACACATAAAATTTTCGAGGGGTACCCTTACAAATGTTTGGCGTAAGACATAAGTCACACTTTTTTTATTCACTTTTTCGTTGCTATTTACTTTTATCTTAGAATCTAAGCAATCCTCTTTTATAATCAAGATTTTTGCTCCTGTATCGGCATAAAACATAACACTTTTATTTATGTAAGGGCTCTCTGAAACCACTAAAGGTGGTGTATGTCCTATATGAAGTATATAAGCTTTTACGGTGCGAAGTAACTGAGTATCTCTTTTTTCTTAAGAATTAGGCTTTTCTTCGATCTTTTCAGGTAATTTTGTTGTTATGGGTGAGTAATGTTGACTTTATCATCTTAATTATTTGTTCGAATAAGGGAAACTGCACGGGAGAAGCGTACATTTTAGTGCTCGGAAAATTTTTATAGATTATGTTCTAGTTGTCCATTATTCATTTGCTGTTTCATTAATTGATCCAGTAAAAATTCAAGTGGAGCATTTCTGTTTTTGTTATTCGTGCGTGTGAAATAATTGTTTATGCTGTGTTTAAACGTTGACCTTTTATTTTTATTATCATTGGGATAAAAACTAGCAGTTAATACTTATGTAGCAGGAGTGTTGGTACGCTCAGTCACATAGTGGAGCATTAGGCTGTTTAGAATTCGCTTCTTCACACTCTAGTCTTATCATGTGCGCGTCTTCCTCGAATCTACTGTCGTTGTCAGCTTTAAAGTGCCTCGCAGGATTTCTATCCCGGATCTTAGTTTATTTTGTGAAAATACCTGACTCCTCTAATTTTTTTTCTCACTTTCAGATAGATCCCCAATATTATTATAGTTCGTCTAAATCACTGTTAACCTCCCACTGTACTCTTGATTCCCTTTCTCTTAAATTTAAATTTTCAACCCTCACTCCTAGAATATATAACCTAGCAGCCCCGTTTGTTGCATCATCTGCTTTAAAGCTCTGATTTCTGCCTTTCAATAACATTTTTGGTTTTATATTTTTGAGCATTTTCACCATGAGAGCTCGTGTCTCTTCATTTGCTTTTTCCCAAAGAATGTATGATTCGGAATCGTGTCTTAAAATAATCGTCATTATCCCAGATTCTTGTAGAGGTTCGAGAAGCGCGCTAGCAATTACATTACATGCTAATTTATCGGTATTTGTCGTAATAATATTGGCTAAGGAACCTATAGGGAAAGATAAACATATAACAAGATAATAATAATAATTAAATTACTTACTTTATAATCAGAGATGCAATGGAGATAATTAGTACGACTATGACCTGCATACTCGTGATGGTGACCCCCCCTTTGTTAGCAGACCTTGGTTTTGATAACGCAGTATATTCGAATTGATTTGTATTGGAATCTCTGTGTCTATTTGACCTGTCTGTAGTGAGTCTGTGATTTCGTTGAAATGATTGTCCTCATTTACTCTTTTTCAATACGTTGAATGCTGTACGTTTGCGGCACTGAACTATGTGTGATTTCCGATAGCCACTTTTAATTCCCGAGCAATGACATATAGACGTTAAAAAAAGATTTTAATTTTCGCGAAAAAAGCCAACCCTACACATTTCACCAAACTGTTACGTGGGAATACGGTGACTTGGGGTGCATGCAAAATAATAAGAATGTTTTATATTCGACAATCCTTTATTACTTATATTGGCGAGGGACGAGTGTATTATCGATCGACTCATCTCAACTCTCTCGACCGACTGCCCCGCTATTCTCCTTATCTTCCTTGCTCTTCAATCCTTTAGGACCTGAATTAAGAGGGGCGCGAGTTAGCTATTAATTAATTTTTTTCATTGCTGTATAAGTAATGGTTTTAAAATATTCGAAGTGGAAATGAAAGTTTTTCGAAAGAAAGATTGAAAATGATGTAAATATAGTGTTCTAAGATACCTAAAATTTTTTAAATCTTAATGTGTCTTAGAAGCAATTTTAAAATAACTGTGTGTAAACGAACTGGTAAGATATTGCAAGTTTAAAAAAAACAAAAATTTTTACTTAATTTTTTATGAATTAAATGGTACCTCAAAATTTACAAGATTTGGCCAGAAATTATTCTGTAAGTACACAGCTCGCTCCAAAACTTTACACTGTTACCAAAATCTCAATACATTGCTAAAAGTAGTTATAAGCATACTAATAATTTTTAATTATCATGAAGAATGTTACAATGCCTTAAAAATTATTTTCATTCATCCATAGATCAATTTATTGACCACGTATGAGCAATAACGTACAATGTGTACTTCTCAATAATTATTGTATATTCAAAAATATTAAACTACTAATCTTTCAAGATTAAATAGTTATAAGTAAAACTGAATTAAAAAGCTTTAAAGAAATCGCGCAAATTAAAAAATAATGTAATTCAACTATAATAAAATTAATAAGTTTTTTTGCTTGGGAAATTGTTGTGACATACATACTCAACTTTCATTAGTTGGCGGAAATTAATTACAAATTTTTATTGCACTTTAAATCTCTACTACTAGAAGACATTTTTATTACTAAACTAGTCTAATTAGTAACTACATTCATCAATTTTAACACTTATAAAAAAACCGCAATTTTAGTTTAATGAGTGGTCAAAATTAGTACTACACTGAGAGATGCTTTGGGATTCTTCTGAAATGCAGAACTACTAAATAAAAGAGTAAAAAAAATTATTTTTTATTAATTGCGGATGCATAAAGTTCCAATCTTAGCATCAAATAAAACAAAAGAAAATAATGTGGTTCAGAAGTTATAGGTCCATGTACCCTTAGCAGATTGAATATAACGTAGCTGAGTCGACCTAAAGTGGTGCAGTTCTGGAGTGTGGTTCTTGATAACGAAGTTTTGCTGTCTACTGAGCACTCTGTGTAAGTGGTTGACGATGCTACAGGGTACTAAGTTAAGGCTGTCTGGGGAAACCAGCCTCGCTTTGTGTACGTTGCCACTGCTAGTGGTCCAATGCACCTTAACACAGCCAGCTAGTGTATATTTATCCTGAGCTTCAGTATAAACGGCATATGTAGTTATCAGAGCATTCTTAAGGCAGAAGGTGAGTTTATTAGGCGAAAAAGTTGACGGACTCATTGGCAAGACATTCCTGTGCTTCACGCTGACGAACCGCTGTGGATTGTCCTCGTGACTTAGGCAGCTGGACTTGGATGACAACCATTGACTGTTTAGATTAAAATTGGTGCCTAAATACTGACCAACTATAAGATTAAAATCAAGAAAGACAGAATACTCAGAACTTGGCACTGAAGCATTGATAATATTTGCATGGTTATGACGTTGGTACTTCTGCTGATTACTAAGATGATTGCAATTATGGTGTTGGTCACGATAGTGCAGCTGCTGCTGCATTAAACAACTTGATAGCACCACCCCCTGTTCAGCATGGGAGTAGTGTCAAAAGGATCATTCATCCAGCTCATCAATGCGACTTCTCACTGCCATTTCGACAACCTCCAAGCTTGGATAGTCTAGCTCTTTTACTAGACACAGTACAGCTGACAATATGTTTGAGTTCTGTAATGTTGTCACAAACAAATAAAGTTGTTAGTATACATCCAGACAATAACAATCAGTTTTATGTACTAATTTCTAGATCCTTTTGTAAATCTTTGGTAAATTTATAAAGGTTTCAAAAACACTTACAATATGCATATTGTGATGATAATAAACAATAAAATTAGAATGATTCGTTATTTTAGATATATAATAATAAGAAGAAGAAAAGCTTCATAATAAAATACGTAAGCAAAGGTCTGTCCTAGCATTAAGTTAGGACATATTATATATTCTAATATTAACAATTTTTATCAAAAACTATCTGCTTTTCCAACGTTCTTGAAATAAATTCTTAAACACTTTAATAATTATTATAAAAGATCAAATAATTTACAAAAAAAAACAAATACGACTCAAGGTTAAATAATTTAAGTACATGACTATTAAAAAAATAAGTTTTATCTTATTATTTACTTTTTAACGTCAATTGATCATAACATTACTTACCCTAGTCATAGGTCTCCTTTGATACTGTAACTGCGACAGTTGTTTATCTTTTTCATTACGTTTGATCCAAACAGATGCATGATGCAGATCTTCCTATTAAAGTCAAGACAATATTGTAAGAAAAAATTTTTTTATTTCATGTTAAAAATAATACTTGTATACATACAATAAGTAAATACGTTTTTGAAACTTTAGTTCTAAAACTTATTGAAATTAACCGTTACGTTTTCCACCAGAAAGAAAGTATAATGCCACATGAATAAAATTTATAGTTTTCCGCAACCTAAAACGTCCTATTATGCTTAACTGTTCATTTAATTTTAACCGTTCTTGCTTTTAAAATAAAAAATAGTATACCAAGTCACAAGAGGAAAAAGTACGTCATTCTTCCAGTGGTGTAAGTTTTTACATGATTTAAAGGTAATAATGACAAGAACTCAGTAAATTATGCTACAATTTTGTCCCTTCTAGTGTACATATTAATTTGCATATTTGTTTATTTCAACTGTTTAAAAAAGTTTTTTCTTGATTTTAGACTGAAAAATTTTCAACATGACCTTCTAGGCAAAAATTTGGTTTAGTTATTTACTAGCAAAGTAAATTCACGGCTTCTCATGTATATCTATCTTTTAAGTCAAAAGAAAAATGTAATGAAATACGGCAAAAAATAATTATTTCTAAGGCGTAAAAATATTGTGCATAAAACGTGTACCACGCGGGGACAATATCACTATAACAATGTTTTTTATCCCACTGCCGTTTGAATAGCAAAATTGGCCCTCGTTTGGCAAAATGCTAAAAAATATAGTTATTTTGTATCTGAAACTATATAGTGTTTATAAATACAGAGGTGATACTATATGCCCTAAAAGAAAAAATCACCTACATGTTTGTGGGTCTACTGAACTTGAATCAGATGTCAAACTTGTAAAATTAGATCACGCTTTCTTTTAGAAATTGCCTTTCCATTTTATTAATGTCCAAGTAAAGTCATTTACCTTGTTATTTACTAATCGCTTAGATTAGCAGGAGTGCGTATTTGAGGTCAATTAAGAATTTCTTTTTTTAATGTAGCATTTAATATGTTTAAGGTTTTCTGCCATGTATACTGAAAAATGTAACTTTGTTATTTAGTACTTTTACAAACTGATTTATTAAAAAAAGTTTAATAGGAAGAAAGTGAAAGGAGAGCTTTTGCAAGTTCTTCTAATGGCTCGTGTGAAATGGACTGAATGGGGTTCTTATTAATTTTTTTACAATAATTGCCTGTATCTCTATTTTCTCATAGGAACATAAGACAATGACACTTTGAGCAACCTATTGATAGGCCCAAAATTATGTATATCATTTGAAGGTCACCACAAAAATGTAAGTTACATTCTGTATATTTAATAATTTTTGGAACCATCTTCATATTTAAATCGTCTCTTTCAAAGAGAACCGAGGCAGCACAAGCGAAGTTTGTCTGAATCATAGAACAAGACAACCTTTTAATTTCAAACGAAAAAATTAATTAATGACCTTCAATTTTTTTCTTTGTAACAAGGTAGTTTTCATTCGTTCATAAATTCCTTTACGTCTAAAAATATAATTCAGTTTTTTCAGTGTATTCAGAATTTTAAAATTATAGATGTTTTTTTCAATAAAAGGTAGATTTGGATTTTTTTTACCATTTCACTATTCATCAAATCTGATGTTTACAGTTGAGCTGCTTTATTTATAAGATAAAATCTCAAATTATATAATTTATATTTTTTTATAAAAATAAATCTCGGTTTGTGTGGACAGATGGAACGTATTCATCTTTAAATGGTCCTCTTCACTCGTTTAATATTTATTTAATTTGAATTGTTGTTCGTTGTCAATTATTTTATCGTTAAGTATATTTTATCTGGTAGAACTTTTAAAGTACTAGTACTTTCTTTATTAATTTTTGTATATTTATTAGACGGTTAAAGCTCTAGTTATGCTTAAATTTTTTTGTCATACTCTATTCTTTTGGATTGGTCCTACAGACATAACAATCTTCTTTGGTTTTTGATTTCTGTCATGTTGACGGTAGACTAACTTTTTTAATTCTTATTTTCAAGCCTGTCTCAAGTTTTATCGGTGGATTAAATCTTTTATTCTTAGTTTCAGGTTTATGTCAAGTAAGCATCATAGTACTTAAACCACTACAAACAAATGTTAAGGCCCATTCATCCTTTTTAGTTTCAGATAAAATTTTAAAACATTTTTTGTAAAGCTTTTGCAATGTTTGGTACAAATTTTTTCATTATTGTCAAGTGTATGGTTCTCACAAATATTACAAAAACATAAGAGCTATTGTTACACAAATAATTTAGTCTTGATGTAAAGGTGAATCATCTACACACTTGCTTCATAGTCGTACAATCAACGACGAAACTGTACACAAAAAAATGGTAATTGGAGCCATGACTTAATTAATGAAGTCATGCTTCAATTATCATTTCGTGTACAGTTTCATTTTTAATTTAGTTTTTTTAACTTTGAAGAATAATGTCAGTTTATGGTGGACCACACTACAGTTTAATCCTTACTGTTAAATAAATGTACTAGGACGTAGTGGATCAATAATATTACACAAGTTAACACTTAAAATAATATATTTAATAACGAACATAAAGATTAATCAAGGTTACAAGATCTCCTCTCTCATTGTACCGAGAGACTCTCCAAGAGCGTACATGCGTGGCAACGGCCACGTTTCGTCTGCTTTCCCTGTATCACTGTACAAAGTACATATACATATCATCTTTCCCTCATGATGTTGATGCCACTTAGTAGATGTCACTAGTTACATATTCAATATAAATTTACTCATACTCTAACATGCTTCCTTAAATTTATTTTACAATCTCAATTTGAGTATCTTAAACTATTTTACATTCAACGTATTTCTAAATCTTTCGAACTTATTTCTGCCTAAAGCTTTGGTAAAAATATCTGCTATATTTTCTTAACTTTCACAATACCAATTTCATTTTTCGCATAACTTTCGTTAAAAAAGTGATAATGAATTTCAATGTATTTCGACTTTTTAGTGAAGTCTCCAAACCTAGCTATACTAATCGCACCAGAATTCTCTTTACATTTTTTCATTGGGTTGTAAACTTCAATTTCCAAATCCAGTAACAAATCTTTTATAACATTTAATTTACTCAGACAATGCTACAAACTCAGCTTCTGTTAATAATTTTGTAACACTATTCTGTTTTCTGGTTCCAATGGATTACATTTCGATACATCCTTATTACATAGCCTGTCGCTAATTTTCTATCAAATATATCACTAGCCCAATCAGTATTGGCAATACAATCAATAATATTATCATGACTTCTCTTTCCACAAACTAATTTTGAATCCTTAATTAAAAACAAATATTTCAAAACCCTTAAAGCATATCTAAAATGTGTTTCATCATAACTATTTTGAAGTCTACTTAAATAATTTACACTGAAGCTGATATCAGGTATAGTTTCTACACTTATATACAAAAAAGCTCCAATAAATTTTTATACTTGATGTCATCACACAGTGATTGCGCTGCTTCTAATTTCAAATTTTGTTCCGTAAGAACCACAAACAATTTTAAATTTTCAATATCATACTTCTTTGCTAATGTTTCAATATAGTTTTTTCAAACAAGTGTCATTTTTTCATTTTTATAGTCATAATTGATGCTAATGCCTAAATAAATACTTATTCTACCTAAATATTCCATTTGAAACCGTTTACATAATAATCGTTCAACAATATTCAGTTTTTCTTTATTTTTACAGCAAATTAATAAGTCATCCACAAAAGAAATTAAATATACATAATCATTTTTTCCACTTAAGATATATGTGCAGCAATCGCTTATGCTTGTTTTAAAATTTAAACTTTTTAAATAAGTATCAAAATACTCATACTAAGCTCTTGGGCTTTCTCTTAATCCATACAACGCTTTATCTAATTTTAATACCTTATTAGAGCCATCATCAAAGCCTTGTGGCTGTTTTACACATACTTCAAATTTTACCTTTCCATTCAAAAACGCTGTTTCGATATCAATCTGTCCAATAATTGAATTATTTTGACAACAATAAGAAAGTAACATTTTTAAAGTTTGCATTCTTGCAACTAGTAATTAAATATCATGAATTAAATCATTTTGCCGGTATCCTCTTACTACTAACTTAGCTTTAAAAGCATCATTAGCCTTTTTAGTATAAAACCATTTTAAACCTGAAGTTTCTTTTTACAGAAATTATTTATATGGTTTATTCACAGAAATCCCAGTTTTATTCGTATTTAAACAATCTTTTTCTCTATCCATTGCCTATTTCCAATTTTTAAACTTATTAATATTCATTGCATCATTATAAGAAATAGATGTCTCAGCATTCTTATGATTTATATAAATAATATTACTATATACAAAATTTTCATCTCTATATCTATCAGGCTCTATTCTTTCCCTAGTTGACCATCTTAAACTAAAGTTTTTATTTCCATAATTGCACTTTGTATTTAAATTGACATTTATGTTTTCAACTTTGTTTTCATGTAATTTATTTTTACCATATCATTTTCTAATTTTAAACTAATACAGTCTGTACCATTTTCGATGATATCAACGTGTCTTGCAACTACTATTTTATTATTTACCGGAACTCTATAACCAATATTTTTATAACCGAAAAAAATTCCTAAGTCTGCATTTTTGTCCTATTTTCAATTTGTATTTTCCTCTGGTCTTCTCACAAAAACTCAATTTCCATAAATTTTGTAATTTCTTGTACTAAGTTTTTCCGTAATCATAATTTTAAAAAGAATTTTATTCTGTTTAACAGTATTAGTGATAATTGTATTTTCAAACAAGCTACTGTTTTAACTATTTCTGGCAAAAATCTATTATGAACCATTGCTTTTTTTAATAAACATCCAGACACATCCACACTATCCCTGTTATATTTCTCTGCCATTCCATTCAATTCATGTATGCAAGGTGGACACGGTTCAATGATATACCTTTCTGGCTTCTAAAATTATTTATATCAAAAATCTATTATGGACCCTTGATTTTT